CTCATATTCCGTAAGTACTTTTCAACAAGCATATGAATAAATGAAAAAAAGACATTAAAAGTACTTATAACTTAATTAAGTAGTATTTAAATCTATTTTTGAAAGTTGTTACGTACCTACATTGTAACATCTGAAAGATATCTTTTGTCAATTTTTTTGCCTTTAAAACTGCTCAACGTAGCATGTTTTGATTCAACTGACAAACACAACAGGACAATAATATGTCATAGAATGTCATAAAACATTGAAAAGACAGTTTTAGAATCATTTCGCTTTATTATATCTTACTTGAAGGTCAAGCAGAAAGTAATGAAAGTATTAAATCAACACAATATTGTTCAATGGGCCAATATCCCATTAACGTAAAAATGTTGAAAATGGATTTATCAATGTTTAAAATCAAAGTAAATGCACAAATAGCGTTATACATGTACGATATTTAAAATCAAAGTAAATGCGCAGATAGGGACACAAGATGTCATACGAGTTGACAACAGCACTCGTTCATGTGAGCTGGTGTTGAGGATAACGCCACATGCTCGCAAGAGCATCCGCCACTAAAGACTTTCACACAAATTGGTGACGGGTCGTCAATTCCCCACTTCTGTCACCACTAAACAGCGTCATTCATAGTTAAGCTTAGTTTTGCCCTAATTATTTAAGTAGCTATGGTCATATGATAACGGTACCCTTTTTACTTACCTTGTTAATACTTCCCTTATTTATAAAAAAAAAAACATAGCAATTATTCTAACTTAAAGACAGCCGAATGATTTTGACCAAAAACGTTGTGTGCTGCCTGCTATTGAATCGATGCGTGATGTCGGGATTACTTACGCAGCAGACTTGATAATATGACAGCATATTATATATTTTCAAGGATAGACAGTTGGTCATTATATTTACAACTTTTTTCTATCATATTTTGACTGCTGTTTAAGTTGCCTTTAAATAGGGTAGATCCTCGACTGCACGTATAAAGTCTCCAATCCCGGTGTACTCTTTTCTCATCCTCAGCTATAAAGATTAATAAATAATCGTTTAAGTAACTTCTTACCCTTTGTCCTAAAAGACGGCTATAGGTATAGGCATTTGGTATGATTGCTACCACACTAATTAGGCAGAGAGAGTTATTTGCTAAAGGGATAATATGATCTGATCATGTGGTTTTGGCTACCCGAAATTTATTTTTCTCTTGAATAAACGTGTACTATTGCAAGCCCATTGTGGCTATATATGGCGTTACAAATATATGTTGAGTCTAAAACCTACACTGTTTATAAATTTGACAAAAACTTAGACGATCTTAATAAAAATGTGAAATAGATATACAATAATAAGATTATATTTTTTTTCGTAGCCAAATAGCCAGGACGTTCGGTATTTATTTTAACATGTAAAGGGAGTCACGTCCTAATGAATTCACCCCCGATATCGGTGAATAGCTGTCGAGTATCATGAGAACTCCCTTCAGTATCATTCTTCAAATAACCCTATTGAAGTTAGCCCGAAATTCCAATCACATGTGAATGTTTAGTTATTTACCTTTAGTAACTTATTACAAGATTTAAAATTTATTGCCAAGCATATTACAGTAGGGCCTAGTTGATACACGTCTACCCGGAATGGCCCTTGGGGGTTTGGATGGGGTTCTGATAAAATTTGCGTTTTGTAACTGGAGTTCCAATTTACATAATGTGTCTATTTCTAGCTCCAAGAAAATTTATCGTGTTGTGAACCACTGGGCTTTATGCATGTTAAGAGATATACCTATTTGAGCACATAGACAAGTGTCTGCCCATCCTGCAGAAATATTGAAATTTTAATAGATAAGTGATGTGTTGTACCTTAACCTGCTTATTTTGTAAGCGGCCATTACGAGGGGCGTTCAATAAATAATGTCATTGGGGCTCAGAAAGAGTTACAGAGAATGTTAATTTTATATTAAAATCTCAATATTTGGGAAAAATTGTTTCAATCGAAAATCCTCGGCTGACTCCGCTTTTGCTCCATTCAAACCTCGGATGTGATTGGTAGAAGAATACACATCAGGTCGTTACATTTCTCTGCTAGATTGATTAATTGATAGTATATTGCTTAACGCCCCCTCTAGAAATTTTCAATTATATTGGGACGCCACCACTTGCCAGTGGAGAGCTGCAAATTTTGTTCTATACTTGTCACTCAGGGCCATTAATCAGGGAGGTATCTTTTTCGTGCCCGCTCCTACTGTGACACGGGACCTCAATTTATACGGTCTCATTAGTATCACGTAGGTATTCGAACCTGCGACGTTAGGATCAACTCCTTACTAGAGCAGACGCTCTAACCACTGCACCAGGTGGGTGACTTCACCGCTAAAAACTGCTTTAACCTGTAACTCACTTCAAATTTTGCTCTGCATCACTCTCTTTAAGAAGGGTTAACTTTGTAATTTGTCTTATTCTTCACTGTAAAATGGTTTTGCTTACAACCGCATGTAAGAAGGCTTGAAAGCAAGAATAAAGTGTTGGGTGTGCCATGGAAAACTCAGATTTTAAATGTATGATATTTGAACGACAATCAAATCAGATCACCTGACTGAATCAACACGATGGTAGAACACCTATAACATCCCAGGGACTCCGATTGGGTATGCTGTTGCTCTTATGAGTGTGTGAAATTACAAAGCTGTGGAAAGTCATGCGCACTAGAATTAGACTCCGCCTCGTTAAGTTAACATTTGTTTGAAAGGGTGATAGGTTGTTTTATACCAAGTGTAGATTACAGAGGTAAAGAAGCGTTTTTTTTACATTTATTTGAATAAAATCTAATTAAATATTCAATACAAATCATATTCTGTTGTCTTACTTTCAACATTCAGATTAAGGAGCCACACAATGTTACGCCTTTTACATGTTACATAGACACATATAACATGGGAGGCCTTGAATAATTAAAATATATTAGACAATTTTGATTATTCAAAATTTACAATTTTGTTATTTAACGAAGTTTGAATATAAGGAATCATTGTATAGTTTGTTTGCTTTGGACATCAACGATCGTTGGTTAACATGGGATACCCTGGCATTCATATCAAACAAGATATTGATTCTGTAAATGACCAAATCATATTTAGTTAAAAAAAATCAAGGAGTTCCTTCGCTTTTGAGCGTTTAAGAACTGCTCCTGTGCCCTTGCACGACAAAATGTCCACTTTATAATAAGATACAATGGAAACATTGTGTAACAAATATTTATTTTATACTTTCATGAAAATTAGTTGAATCAGATTAATTGGTCGTGAATCATTTGTTAAAAATCACTATTACCAGCTGAATAATGAAACCACGCCTTCAGCGTAGCAACAGTCAATATTGCTTGACAACGGGTGATATTCCAAAATTAGCGACTTAGCAAAACTTATGCGGGCACAGTTCACTGATATATGTATTTGTATAAAACATTGAAAATATTCAGGTCTCGAAAACCATTGTCAACCTCGCCTGCGCCTCGGTTAACAATGATTTTGAGACCCGAACATTTTTAATGTTTTACTCAACTACATGCAATATTTATATAATACTTCTCTTCACATAATTTTTTCAGCATATTTTTTCAGATGTTAAAAAGATTGCAAGACGGGACGTCATGTTTTGGAAATCAAGAATGTTCAATGGGCCAAAAGAGTGTCGTATTTGGTATGTTCTTGCTCTACAGTCTGTCTCGTTAAAATAGCGGAATGGTAATTATGAAATGTTAGTCTTTTTAATATTTCTTACTTATTTGCAACAATAATAAAATATAAGTGTGTAATATTTTTTAAGTGTGTAATATTTAAGTGTTCCAATTCCATTGAAGAATTATAAAAGCAAAAGTGTATTTTACATTAATTGAAATTATTAGTTGAAATTGTCATTAACATACATTTAACAAATGTTTAATTTAACTCCCTTAAAATGTTTTCGAAAGGCATTGTAAACATTTAAAAACATTGAAAATACCTATATTTAATGTATTATATACAATTTTTATGCAAATTTTACCAATTTGATAAGTTAAATTCTCGTTACACTTTGCCTCGACTAGGTATTTGATCATTACGTCAAGAATTTGACATTTACTATGTTTAATTTAAGGCATTCAATTACTTCAGTTTCAATGAAATAAATTATCAAATTCTAAAGGACTACGTAAAACAATAAGTAGCTATGTAAACAGTTATACGATGAGTTGTGTAAAAATAGTTCTATTTCTAACTCTCATAAATTATTTTACAGTGTAAAAGAAAATATGTTATACGTTTAAACTTAGTTTTGTATTCCTTTTTAGAATGAGAGAGAAAAAAGAGAAATTAAGAGGATGTGTGAGAGGGTTTGAAGTTGTGTGTGTGTGTGTGTGTGTGTGTGTGAGGGTGTGTGTGTGTGTGTGAGGGTGAGGGTGAGGGTGTGTAGGTGTGGGTGTGTGTGTGTGTGAGGGAGGGTGAGAGGGTGTGTGTGTTTAATTTTGAATCATAAAGACAATTTATTCCAAATGCATATTTTAATTAAATTTCATTGACTGAGTTATTGTATATTGTTTCTTTCCTGGGTAATTTTGTGTAACTGTTTAATATTATCTTTATTAACCTAATTCATAATGACTGCAACCATGGTGAACTATAGAGCGCATAATATTACCTCTCTTACGTTAAATCGGAAATGCAGTATCAATAATAAAATCCGCACCCAGCTTTTTGATATTATTACATATACATCAACCTCAGTAATCGCTACCTGAATTTATCAATGGTTATTAAAATTGGTACCTAAGATACACCGTATAAAAGTCTTGGTATATGATTACCTGAATGAAATTTAAATTAAAGCAAACGAATATGGTGGGACTAATACGGAATGACTATGACTGGATCATTTTCAATCAATAATTTGTTTTCTTCACACATGTCAAGTTAAAGTTTAATTTATCAAGCAAACATTTCTGGTAATTTCCTTACAGGTTCCACAAGTAAAACATCGAAAAGATTTGGATCTTTCTCAATAGTAAGGACTTGTTTCATTCATTTCATGTATTTCAACTTTCTGTTTGAATAGGTCATAATATCTCTTAAAATATATTTTTTCTGTAACAATTCCAAATGGATTTCTACAAAAATGCACCTAAATTTTTGTCTGTGTGATACCTTAGGTCAGCAGGGTTGGATGGGGGTTGACATCTTGAAATAATATAATCATCATACTGAGGTGGTTTAACATGCAAACTTTTTATACTTTAAATAAAAGATTTTTATAATTTTAAAATAAAATTTGTTTTTGTATAGAACATAGATTTGAGACGTTTTGATGGACGCAGCTGTAGAAGTCTCCGTAGGTGCTTTTTCTCTTATCTTATAACAAAGTATATTTGAAAAGAAAATGGGTTTATGCGTTGCATATATGCATATCTAAAGCCAGTCCAGTGAAATAAAAATGGTTCATGATAAGAATACTTCCTAGAATAATCAAGTAAAAAAAATTATATGTAGTTTATCGTTTTTAACAAAAAAAATATGATTCATAATGTTTCAGAATGTTCAAGTGAAAGAGTGTGTCAGCAATGACAATTTCTAATTCAATATAAAATCTTTTTTAAACGGTCACATTTGTTGATCATAATAATTATTTTTCTGAATTTACAGAAATTAAAAGTAAATGGTCTCGATCACTTCCGGCAACTCTTCATAGAAAAGTATTCAAATATTTGTCATCAGACTGTCCTGAAACATCAAGATATGAAACGCAATCATTTGATGCCAGAACAAAAGACAAGGAACGTGCAAAAGAAGTACTGTTTACAGGTATTCTGATACTTTTGATATAATTGCACCATGAGGTTAAAAAGTTCTTGGACAATCCTATAATTATACAATGTATGTTTATATCTTTACAACGACCAACCAGATCAATCGGAAGTCATTTCGAGGCCTTGTGTACCACTTTTTTTAATTGAATTGAGTACATTCAACAAGCACTAGCAATACTAAAAATGAATAAAAACAGCTTAAGAAAGCAAAAAAAAAAACATCTATCCCATTTTGTCTTTTCAGGGATAAAAAATGTATATAATTTTCATATTGTATTCCAAACTGTCTGATTGGCTCAAACTTAATCACATGATTACATGTATATAACAGCATGAAGATTTGAGTTACTATTTATAGAATATGAAATGCATATTGACTTGATGTTTTTTAAAATGGAGATTATTTTCTGTAAAACAAAAAAAGCACTGATTTCACAATTATAACTTATACACTGTATGACTTGATGTTCCAACTTCAACATCTCTTTATATTTTGAATGTTCTGTAATTGATGAGATGTAACAATTCCAGGAATTTGGATCTACTTCATATTAAAACATATCTATTGAATTTGTATGTCAAAAATTGATACAAATAAATGTTGTATTATGAATATAAAAGTAAATTGTCTAAATCAATATAAAGGAAACACAATTATACTAACCAACTTAATTTCTTTTGATCTCTAGTATCTGAGTTTAAAAGAAGAAACGTTTGGCCTTGTTCCTATTATTTTCAAATTTTGTTTTGTCAATCTATGTAAAAAAATGATATAACAATACGTATATTTTATCCCCTTCCCAACCATTTATAGTTGTCTCTACAGGCAATAAACTTGCTCCAACTGAATTTTTAGCAAAATAACAAATAATTTTATCACGCGAGTTTATCACTTGTAGAGACGACTATAAAGGGTAGGTAGATTGATAAAATATACGGATAATTAAATAATGTGCCTGGAATTAGGGAGTGAAAGGTAGCTGATTGACCAATGCTAGAAAGTGGAGAAATTCTCCCCAAAAGTGGGCAAAAAATATTGCGACAAAAATTGCACTTTTTTTTTTTTTTTTGCATTACGGGATCTGTAGCGGTATGGTCAAAGACAGATATATAAAACATAACGCTACAGATCTGCAGCTAAGAATAAATATAATTAGACAAAAAATTGATGCAATGTTCTTAAAAAGTTGTAAGAACATATTTTGCACATTCGCATACTCCAGTTGAATGTTGCTAACAAGTTTGAGCTTAAAATAAGAATAGCGTGACCTTGACATACACAGAAAAAAATGAACAGTTGATATAACCTTTGTTTTCCAGCACTTATATTATGCAATCTTTTCTAGAAATTCAATTGTCATATCTTAGCTAAATACTCATAATTTTCACAAGTCATTCTATGTATGCTACTGGTATCTAAAAAGAAACCATGATTTTGAATCATATAGATGTAGTCACTTTAAAGTAGACGGAAACTTGTACTTTGTCTTTTCTATAGAAAAAATATTTATTTTTTTAATAAGTGTTAATCAAAGGATTATATTATATTCAACAATTGTTTTAAGCAGGAAGATACAAGGAAAGGAACAAAGAAAAGCAATGCAAAATTGATGAGCAAACATGGAAACGCAGGAAGTTCAAGGACAACTGTTCGAAAAGACAGGGAATCCCAAAAGGTTTCTCTCTCTCTCTCTCTCTCTCTCTCTCTCTCTCTTTAGAACGAAAATATGTATGACAGATGTTGTATTTCGTTCAATCCTGATTTAAAATATAATTTAGAGTTGCTTGATAACACTCATATTGCATTTCTTGCATTTCATTAAAGATATTCTCCAGTATATTATTATCCGTCTTCTCAAAGAAGTACTGGAGGGGAATTGGATCGTTCACATCGTTTTAATATGCTCATTGGTATGAACATATTTACATGTTTTGAAGAGCATTTTTTACATAAAAAATAAATTTTTGTATATAGATTCATACTTTTTTTTTTTCAAAATTACATTTTTTTCAGTTTGAAACAACAATAGCAATGTATTGTCCGGAATCAATGAAAACGTTATCTCCTGTAAAAGCATGCCCTTTAAGTGAAAAAGACTGGCTTTCTGCTTCCGAAAAGATGAAATGCGAAAGCAAAAACCAAACTTGCTGTCCAAAGGAAGATTACAAATACCACTGTCTTGTTAATGTTTTCCAAAACGAAACATTTGAACTGTGTGCACCAAGAATAAGATTAAGTGAGTAATGTAAGAAACAGGTTATTTTTTAATTTTGAAAATCGCCATACATAATTAAGTTAATTGTAATGTTAAATACATAATCTTATTATTCTGAAAAAGAGAACTTAATTGTTGTCATGAATTAATTATGGAACAGAACGTAATTTTGCTTTGCAGAGGACGAAGCCTTAAAGTTAATTATTTAATGTTATCTTACATACAGTGTATATATGTTTAATTATATGAAATCTAGCGCTAACGTGTGGTATAGACATTCATGTACACATAAAAATTAGTATGCATCATGCATGTTAAATCAATAAAAAATTAAAAAAAATGTACAGATAACATTGTATCAATGGAGAATAAGATTATTTACTTGTTCTTATTTAAAAAATGAGTATATTACCGTTTAAACCTTTACAGCCTTTTTTGAATATATACATCTTTGCAATAAACTTGCAAAATTTTTCATTTTTGTTTTAATTTCAGGATTACCCGTACTTGCCCTTTACTACATAATGAAAATTAATGGTTTAAGAAACAAGAATAAATGGTTCTACTACATGTATATAAATTATGTTGTATGCTTCTTTGCATGTAAAAGTAAATTTCAAAATCATACTTTTTTCAGATTACTGTCTTCAGTATGACGATTATGGAGCTAGAGTTCAGATTAACTTCCATGCTAATTGTACCAATACGTCTTCTGATTGTGGGAAGTTTTATGATTCCAATAAGGCGTATGAAAGTAAGTTAAGTAGATATAAGCTATTATATTTTAGCTCTTTACATCTCTAAGTGTTTAAATTTCATTGTATGCATAATTATGAACATTATATTATATGCAGTACCTTGATCTACAGATAGTTTATACAAGTAATAGGGGTAACTATGGAATACGGAATCCTAACAGTCAATTGCAAGTGGTACATGCCGAATAATGTCTAAGACACTTTCCGACCAGTGGCCGTAGAACGGTGGAAATCGGTGGTAATCCGTGTTGTGAGCGATGTCCCAATATCCATCCACATTGTTGTCTTTAAAGTATCAGTCACATTACCAGCGATGGGATATACCATGGGCAACCGATTCCTTTTTTGATAAAACTAAAGTGGTTGCCTGCCGGACTTAAAAAGGCCCAGCGAGCCATTGCTGATCATAAGATAATATCCCAAGGTAATCGATCGATGTATATTACATCGCTCATACATTGGTGAACATCGCTCGGATGTTAGTTGACTATGGGCCAATGGTTAGTCGCACATCGACTAATGATCGGCCGATATCTGTAGCCCACCACTCAACCCCCCGATGACCTCAGATTCGGCGGACACAAGAACATGCTTGGCCATATATCAGCCAATCAATGAAAAATGTGTTAGACATTGCTGGTTTTTAACTACAACTTTTAAAACCCCAGTCACATTTCCTAAAACGACCAAAGGCCGTCTGTTTTTGAAGCAAAAGGGGGATTCTTCGGGTGACAGTTGGCAGTTCATTGGCTGTGTATTTTCCGATTTTGACCTTTTTTTGTCGGCCGACCACTTTTTGTCCAGCGGTCCAAGTTATATTTTTTCTGCGTCGGTGGCGGACTTCCTCAATTGAAGTTATCCCTCGACCAACCTTCGATCATCGTCCGATCATCGGCGGTTAAAATTAAACCGTAGCTCAGAGTTCGTTGATCGGATGACGAGTGGTCAACTTGTGAGTCTTTAACCACAAACGATACTCGAAAGAAATAAAATTTTAATGCGTTATTTATATATAATATTATATATTTTGAACGAAAATAACAAAAATGATTAATCTGTAAGATATAAGGAAATCTTACGTATTCTTTGCTGCTTAGATATGCGCCTTTCGTCGTTTTTAATGCAAATCTATACAAAATTCTGCACACATTTTCAACATGGAATCTTAATCTTACACAAAATTCTGCCACTTTGCCTTGCAAACATTTTCACGTCACCTACCTGACAGGGATATGGACACAGTTTCAGATGATTTTTCTTTTACCAATTGCTCTTTAAGGCAATTCTAATGATCCGCAAAAATTTGAACATCATTTGTTGATTTAGAAAAGGAGATAAACGATTGAGAATTCTTCATAATGTAAACAAGGATCGTGCTTTGTTTTTATTTTCATTTAGAAAATTTCAAAACGAAATTCAGCAAATCATTAGAAAATGACTAATTGTATTTAGAGTTATCGTCCTTCTTGACAAAATCTGCTTTGATGAATACATATCAGCATACTTAACCTTTGTAAACAAAAACATGTCTTGTTGACATAACAAATGTTTTGAGCTCTAAATCTGTCTTACTTGTAACTCGACAACTGAATTTTAAAAACTTGCTGATTATTAGAAATAACTTAATTAAGTATTCATAAACATAAAAAATGTCATGAAAATGTTTGGCTGAAACTGTGTCCGGGCGCCTAGATAAATCTATAAAAAGTTTTTGCTGATTTCTAAACAAACCAATTTTTCGGTTATTTATCTAATTCATCGTTGTTCTTAGAAATTAATGTTACTGCGCTTTGTCGCCCGATACTAGTGTCGGACGATCATGTTCTTCCAGCTGACAAGAGCAAAAAAATCAACCGCCCGACCATCTGCTTAAATGTTAAATATAAGATTTTTTAATTGAAAAGCTAAATGTTTTACAAGATGCAATGCTAAAAAAGAGTTTTCTGTGCAAACCTTTAATCAAATATAACAATTTATAATACGTCCATGAAATGAATTATGCTACCATTCGTCCGTAACATAAACTATGTGAACAATTAATGGGGAATTTATTAATGAGGATATAAAAAAGTTATTAAAAGAGTATTCTTCTAAAATAAATAAACAGCTGAAAAAACCGGGAATTAAGATTTATTTCTTCTTTGTTTTGCTTGTGTTTACATGGTCAATTAATTTAAAATATTATCAACGGTGTGTTCCCGTTTTGCACACATTTGGTAATTAGTATAGAACAACAGGTGTGAAGTGTGTTTTGATAGCAAATATAGTCTGATTTCTGGTTTTCATTTACCTGGATTTACCTGTGAACAGGTGAATACCTGATTTAGCTTAATGTATTCTTAAGAGGTTTAATACAATTATATAAGCATTTTATAAACATTCTATATATACATGTATTTATGGGAAAATATTTGATTTAATTGAATAAATTATTAATATTTGTTTCATATTATTTATTATAAAGTCCAATTTCTTAAAAAAAGAATATGTACTTTTCAATCTTGATATAATTCTAAATGAATTAAAGAAATAGCATATAATAAAGAAAATAGTGAATAAAAATTAATTTGAAAAGATGTTATAATAAGATCACCAGATAATCAAATACATTAACTTTGTATTTATTCTCTTATTTTTCCACTATAAGTTCATCTTTCACATACTTACTAAGCTAAGTATAGTATAGACTATAGCAATTAAGTAATCATCTCACCTGGTCAAATTCCCATTTTTCACACATTTTTTAATTACCTGTAATTAAATGTGTGCAAAACGGGAACAAACCTTATCAACATATCATTCAATCGATTTTGGCAGAAAATTAATAGATGTTTTTGGGTACATGTTCGTGTATCAGTTTTACACATCATTGAATACGCTGGTCAACAATAACTCTAATTTCTATCTAATGTAATGTAAAAAAATGATAAATGAAATGTGTATAAATTTCTTTAAGGATTGATTAATTTTAAACATAATCTGAGGGTTCCATTCTCAGATCGATGTAAACACTTACAAATAAGACACTTTAAACTCAGTACTACAGAGCTGGAGAAACTAATGACAATCAAATTGAAATGTCAGTAAAAATAATCATGACTAAAACATAATGCTTGGCAAAATGAATAAAGAATTTTACAAAAGCCCGAATACTTAAGCAAATGACTTGAGAGTATCGCAATAGTATGAATATTTGCATTGCTCTATAATGATAAGATCTATTTACAATTTTCTTTTTTCTGTATGAATAAACATGGGAGCCAGTATCAATCCCCGAAAAAAAATTAAGACATTGAATTAGTAAGATATCCGATAATTGTGATTAAATCCCATACATGTATGAATTACACTGAACATATATAAATACTGTATTTAATCACAATTATCGGGTATAACACTAATTCGACTTCGTTTTTTCTGTGAAAAGTACGCTCATAGAATTAACATGAAATAATATATTATTATTTCATGTTATTTCTAAGCACGTTCTGTTCATAAATGACCTTCGCATACATGAACAAGTAATGATTCCTGGCATATAATACTCAGCTTCAATTTCAACTGCCTTTTATAGTTCATTGTTTATTGGAAATCTCAGTTCTGAGTAAGTTCCGCCTATTAAATTAATGAATCACACCCACTGGGACTGCTGGGACTGCTCTCTTGGACCGGGGGGACAGCTGGGATAGCTCTGGAACTGCTGTGGGACTGCTCTTGGACCACTATATGACTGCTTTAGCATTTTCAGAAAGCAGTCCCCAGGACTGCTCTGGGAGTGCTTTGTTTCAGGATGGGTCTGGTAGGTACCGTACCCGCGTAGGCATTACTTTCTACCGATTAACCCCGCCGATTCGCCAAACAGCTCTAGTCACCGTCTGATTGGTTTCCGACTGCAACCATTATTTAAAAAAAAGCATCGGTTTCTCATTGTATACCCGATCGCTGGATAATTTGACTGATACATAACCATCGCATCACTGTACCCGTTCCTATTTTTTTTTAGTTATTCTTATAACGATAAAGATTAACGGTATATCTCTAATCTTTGCCCTGCATAAATGAAAAGAAACATTAAATAAAAAGGTTAATTATTTTTTCTCTATTATTGCCACTTATCTGATTGGCTCAAACTAGATCACATGATCACATATAAAAAGTGTTATACACTAGATATTTCTATTTTAAAACTTCATAAACCTGCAGTTTCTGAAAGTAGAAATGTTCTTCTGTGAAGCAACAATCGTGCTGACGTCACAATACTCTTTATAAACTGGATGTTTTTCTAAAAACAGATAGTGTAGCTGCTATTCTTCATTGTGATGTCATCGTGCAAATGACTTAACATTATATGCCTTAAATGAAAATGTACCGATAATTATAAACATGGATTTTAAGGTAGGATTCTTCTCTGGTTTTTATCTTGATGAAACACTCAAAGTCTCCCAGTTACACATGTATGGGACTATTAAATACAGTATTTAATCATAAGCAGCACATTTTAGGAAACAAAAAGTATGCGGGACCTATATTGGGAAATATTAAAATGACATCTCAGAAATTAAAGGATCAATATAAGCATTTAAACATAAACTCTAGAAATGTTTAGGTACATGAAAAGTTCGGCGATCTTGTTGAAATTTTGAAAATTGATTACTTATTTTCATATCTTATGTTCTTCATCGTCACGACATTCACAGTGTACAGACATATTAATAGGATTCCTTCAATAAAAGAGGTTGATCAATATAGGATCGCATCACTTTTCGAAAACTTCAACGAATCAAAAGAAATACAACAATTCTTAAATACGTGATCCTCATGACATCTTTCGATTATCAATAGAAATCTTATTCTCCTCAATATTTGCTAACAACCATAATTGCATTTGTCAGGAATTCAAAGGTACGTAGACGACAGTGCCATTGCGATAAATAATTTATAGTTTATCAAAAAAGTGCTTATATTTCCACTTTATACTTTAACAATACTGCATTCTTTATCATAAGATAATATGAGCAAAGAGGAAAAGAAATCAAATGCTGAAATTTAACAAACTCCTGTACTTTTAGTGCCAAATTGCCTGAAATTGAAATTTGAGAAAAATGATGGAGAAGCAGATGTAAAAAGACCAGAAATTTCGAAGTAAGTTTGATTGAAAGAGAATATTTTATATTCAATTGTATACAAATAAAAACGAGCATTTTATTTCTAGCGTTTTCTAAAAAGTATTTAGTCATAGAAGATTTTTGTAAAGTGTTCTCTACAGTGTAATATGTTTATTACATCATTTTAAAAATATAGTATACTTTTTTAGATTTCCAGACAAAGTTTCGAGGTATGTTCACAGTTAAGATATCATTAAAAAAGATAAATATTTATACAGCAAATGTCTTTGAATAAAAAACCGTTCACGGTAGCTCAGTTGGTAGAGCGCTCCCTCTGTGATTGGGAGGTCGTGAGTTCGTATCTCGGCCGCGTCGTTAAAATTGGTAGCAACTGTTCCTTCGCCATGCGCTCGGCACTTTGAAGTGAAAGTTGCGGGTCCTTCGGATATGACCTTAAAAACTGATGCACCTTGTCAGCGGCAGGCGTTGGCACGATAAAGATCCCTCACTGCTCAATGGCCCTGAGTGCCGAGTAAAGGTCAAAATTTGAAGCCCTTCAGCGGCATACGGCGAGGTCTCCTTATGAGTGAAAAGTTCTCGAGAGGTACGTTAATCAATATACAATCAATCAATCTTGGAATAAAAACATATTTTAGGTCACCTGAGTAAACTCATGTAAATTATTGCTCTCTCTTTTAACCCTTCGCTGCCGTGTGTCGTTCGCCATATACGCGGGCATGTTATGGAAGCTTAAAAGTCCTTCTTCCCGAAATTTAGACTTTTTAAAAGAAATTAAGTTTGATATTTTACCAAAACCGCTGATAAACGTAAACTATTATTATATACGTGTGTATTGCATAAAAATAAAAGAGTGTCTAACGCAACGACGTGCACCACCACCACGGCATCACGTGACTTCTATTGAATAGTGAAATTTTCCTTAATAAAATAGCTAGCAGAACAACAATGCTCCGGAGTTTAATAACTTCTTTGAGTAAATAATGTAGTTGAAAAACATCTATTTTGCCTTAAAAGTGCTGCTTGAATCCTACTGTTCCGTCAGTAAAATAATTATTCCACTCATTCGCACGAAACCTTACCCGGTGTTTTAAATTTTTTACATAGGAACCGCGATTTTTTGTAAAACCATGCTTAATTCAGGATTCTAGCACGTATTCCACGTATTTCTATAGACTTTAATGCGACTTGTACTACATGTACAAGAAGCACTTAACCACGACGTGACGTCTATAATTAGAAAAAAATGCCGTAATTTAAAAGTGAAAAGTTCAACACTAGTCCGGGGATAATTAATTTCAATTTGAAATAAAAGTTATATAAAAATCATCCCTAAACCATGAAAAGTGCTGCTAAAATCCTACTGTCCTATCACAGAAATAATTATTCAACAGTTTTGGACGAAACCTTCCCAAAAATTTTCACTGTTCATAAGATAGATAAAAGTGCATCAATCCCAATAAACTATATTCTATACTCTATACTATATACTATATATACTATATTCTAACAGCACTCTCGAAAATCAGTAGAATAGAACTTTAGATAGAAACAAAAATTAAATTTCAAAGTGTGCGGCGTAGTGTGGAACTTTTGCATCTTCTTTGTTACGAACGACAGATGAAAGGCTGATCGGCAAGTAAACATCCTTTCTGCTTTTATTTTATGAAGAAAATGTAGAAATATATTTATTTAGCATACTTTTTTCATTAGCTTTATTCCCACATGAATCACAAGATATTCATTCAAAATGCGTTAAAACTCTGATTTCTTGTGTTTGTTTACATGAATTCTCGTTACGTTTCACTTTCACTCCGCTACTGCATGATCAACAATTATGACGTCACGGATTGGTATTTAATACCTGTGATAAAAACAGAGACCCAGAAACGACTAAATTCCGTTTATAGTATGCCTCTGCATTTTTCGATTAATTTTTACGACCAATCAATCTTAGATATCGATTTTAGGAAATTGTTATCTCTAAACTTCACGTCATATAGCTTACTATGACGTCATATCATATTAGCAAGTATAATGTTTGGTTATAACCTTAACATACCTGCGTAAGAAAATAAGTTTTTGAGACAACAGCAAACTTAATTTGCGAAAACGTCTGTCATTCAATATGTGAAAATATACTTTGAAATTCAAGTCCTTCATTTTATTTAAAAAAAGTATATATAAAAAATAAGCATTATTAGAACGCCATTTTAATATTTCTCGATTACTGGAAAACACAGTAATGACGTCACACGTAAGTAAAAAATAAGCAAGGTAAGATATACCTATGTAAGAGAATAGTCACTGGCAATTGAGAAATAATTTTTGTGTTCCCTGTTTCTGTAAATATCCCATCACACATCAATTATGATTTGTTTTCATATAATAATACTCCCAATGTTTTCGCCGAATTTGATCAGTGACTGTACAAGAAAATACTGTTACAAAGACAAAATATTGATTGCAGACTAGAAAACGCATACTTCGTAATGTCTTGCACTGAGTAGAACTTTTAAAAATTAATCAATCATAGAATTCATACTCAGCATTATTAAATGTAAGGCTGAAAAAAGGGGCCTCATTTAAATGGGAAATATTCACTGTGACGTCACACAAAAATATGAATTTTGCGTATTTCGCATTATACCTGAAAATGAAATAATTTGCAAATTTAAACTGTATTAGCACAATAAACAAAAATAAAACTTATTAATGCATTAAAAATATTGCTAGTTAAATCCGATACAGTTGGTTATGGACAAATCACTGATCGCGATGTACTTATTAACATAACGTCATTTTGGTAAAAATGTATATCCTTTGTTTAGTGCGATGATTCATTAACTATCAAGATAATGTATTTTATTAATTATGTCGTGTTTTGATGTACAGGTTAGGTATATTTTAAATCGAGATGCCTCATAAAATCGTACTTTTGCAAGGGCATACACTGAATAGATCTTAACCAATTTTTGAAAGTAGATTAAGGATATTCTCTTTAACTTGAAAAGTGCTGCTGCTTTCTTAAAATCGAGAGCATGATTTTGTAAGTAAACAAAATATTTGACAAAAGTCAAATATTTCGACATTAGCCTATTTATTTGAATTTTAACTATTAAAACGCATATTTTATTCAAAGCAGCAGCAATTTTCAGAAAGTACAACATATGCAGAAACAATTAATAGATTTATTTCAACTAGGGTATGTCCTTGCGATATTGAAATTTGTTAATGACCTACATTCACGTGATTGTCCATTGATGGAACCAAACTTTATATAGTACAGAGTAGGTTATACTATGCTTTTCCCATAAGTATCTAAGTTCTGTGATAATAAAACAGCTTGATAAAAATAAATTCAGTTTTTAAAAAGTCCCCGTTTTTTGCACGTTTATTTTCCGTTGATTTATCAAAGTAGGCCTTAACAATGCTGCGTATTTTGGGATGTCTCTGGTCCTTTAACACACCTGGCCACGCCAGGCGCGTAATGATAATTTGTCGGCAGGGCGAGGTGTGTTATAAGACCAAAGACATCTCAAAATATGAATTAAATGCTTATAATAGCATTCTCTACTTTTTCCTCTTCATAATTGTTTATTTCGGAAATCTTTAATTTAATGTGACTTTAGCGCCCTTCACAGATGGTGTGATAGAGGTAAAAGCCGTTGGTGACAAGGTTATTTTTCTTAAATTGTGTCTAAGCAATGTACATATCGGTGTTCCTAATGTATTGAAAATGTATGTACAGGTCTGAGGTGTCATAGAGATTTGAACGTTGAGGATTTCTAATGAATTTCATAAAGAGAATAAATTACACTAAAAGTAAATATATTAGATTAATCTGTTTCACATGTTTGAATATCGCAGGAGATTTTACTATCTCAGAACTGGTAATCAAAACCTAGTGACTACACTTTCAAACAAAATGAAATCATTTGATATGACACCAATGTTCTATAATGGGAAAGATGTAAAACAAAATCTGTTGCACGATCTTATTTTGTTAATACAATGAAAGAACATAAATCAAACTAGATTTTGTTATCATTAAGCTGCATTTTTTTTAGTGAAAGTAATTTTACTGGATTATATGTTGCCATCCCCACGACCATAACTTTGGCGTTGATATTAATTTTGCTATGGAGAAAGACAGTTTTAACAAATATTGTAAGTAATAATAATTTTTCAGTCATTTATATTTCAGGTCTTTTCTCGTTTTGTATAATACGTTTTCACTCAGATTGAAAGAAAAAATTCCTTCATGTCGACAAATAATATTTGCATGTTGATTCAACGTTGATATGTCTTTTTCGTTTGTTTTTAAGGTATGTGATTGGGTTAATTGTAAAACCACAAGACGGAATCATTTGCAGCAAAATGGAGAAAATGAAGAAATGATCTGAGTAAAAGATCTAGTTTTATCCGTATAATTATAATCCAATTTTCATGTTTATAAAGTGTTGCTGGTTTGGTTTTTGTCATTATGTACAAAATATATCTCAAACTCAAAACGCTCAGGTGAGCGCGTACTTTTGTAAGACAATAAAGATATTGAAAGACATTCCATATCAACTTATTAGAGGAAGAAATGTACAAGTATTTCTTTTTTTATGAAATTTGAAATAATCTCGGATTCCCTTTTTTAAATAATGACAAAAAAGTTTAAATGTAAAATATGCTAATAAAATTGTAAATGAATACCGTATATTTATTAGACGGTTATTTGTTGTTTCTGTTGAATTATTTATACAAAATTGAATTCACAAAATTGAATGGAACTTGGCAGTGGGTAAATCCTTTTTAGCCCACTTTAACACAAGGTCACACACACAATACAGATATGATACTAAATAAAAAGAGTATAGTAGAAAAAGAAGTCAGAAAAAAGTTAGAAAATAATTATAATGAAGAACCAGTATAGAAATGTTGTCAAAAGTAACATGCCTGACAGTGTCCGATAAACTTTTTGGTTGCTGCAAAGTAAGCATTCATTGTTTATATATTTGAATATTATTATCTGGCCCATGATGAGGACAATCATATGACATAATAAATCAAATGAATGTATTTGATAATAGTAAATTATATTCTGGGTTGTTTTGTATATTTTGGACAAGCAAAGTAATAATGATGTGCATTTTGTACAACGTTAATACAGTATTCACAAATTGGCGTTTCAGATATAAATTGATTATACAATCATTACATTACGAGCGTTTTTTTTAAGGCAATATATTATATTGTATTTTCTAATTCCGAAATGAAAAAAAAAAATCTTAACATTAAAAAAAAAAGACTTTAAATACATTTGAATAAAGATAAAACAATATGGATGAATTTTGATTAATATAGTCAGGCAAGTTTTCCAACAGTTGATGAAAGGAATCTTCCCATATATATATATATATATATATATATATATATATATATATATATATATATATATATATATATATATATATATATATGATGTAGATTTGATTTGAGGAATTTTAATTCTGCATTCTGCCTTTTTTTTCCCTTCAATTTGACTTTTAGCAGTATCAGAGTACATTTAATCAGACCATTGTTGTCGACATTTGCTGGCAATTAAATATTGATAATTATATAAGATATGTTTAAGAACAATATTAACTTCTTTATCAATTTCTTGAAATTGCTGAATTTAATCTTATTGTGTTTTTCCGGCAGTAACATTGTTTCATGGCATTAGGCTCTTGCTTTTTCTCATATGATGATAATAATAATGATAATAGAAATTAATATATGGCGATAACAAACAATATTAAAGCTCAAAAGTCCGTAAAAATACAGAATAGGAGATAAGCAATCATGGGCCTCCAAAGCATGAGATGGGAATAGGTGCCATGAAAGAGTTAGAATCCCCTGTCAACCGGTCATACCCGCCGTGTGTTCCTGGATATAAAGAAAATAAAAGATTCATAGAAATGAAGAAATACACAAGAATATATAAGGTTAAGTTTTTGACAGCTTGTCAAACTCCGGGGTCAAGGCCAATGTGTCAAAATGGTTTCAATAAGGAAATGTTACATATATTACTTGCAAAAAGTACCTGCCTTTACCGTTCAAAATTTAGTTATGACCAAGTTTAAAATTTTGAGAGAAAAAGTAGGTAAAACCCCAAAGTCATGGACAAAGTTGTTGGTATCCATCGAAAGGTCTTCTCACAAGAATTAAATAAGTAAATTTTGATAGCACTAACTCATTGAACGTTTTTCTCAAACATACGAGTACTTCCAAAGGAGCCCTCTATATATACCTCACCTGAAGTGCCATGAGCTTGCTGGATCAGTAATTCATTTCATGAAAAATTATCAAATATTTCATAATAATGACCATTTCAATGAATCGGCTATTATAGATAAACTATGTACAGCGTATCATTTGAAAATTTTGTAATATCAAATACATGTGTACAAAGATTGGTAAATATTGTAAAAGAGCACAATTGGAGATTGATTGATTGATTGTTTATTGTTAAACGTCCCTCTCGAGAATCACAATTGGAGAAAAAATAAATCAGAAAGACACAACAATATACAAAAGAATTATAATAACTGTATTTTTTAAGACATTAATAATGGAATTTTATATTTAGTTATGATGGTTTTATGAATATTGTAGATTGGCAAATAATCACGATGGTTTTAATTTCGCTTTGTTCGCGATTTATCATTTTTCCCCGATATTAAACCCATCGTAAATGTCATTATTAGTTTTTATAAACGTTTAAATGCTTATACGAAACTTTAAATTAATTTCTTGCATCGTGAATTTAAAACCATCGCAATTGGTACTTTTTGAGACATCGTGAAAACTTAACACCGTGGAATTAAAACGATTTACAGTATAAAGAATTGTGAGACAATCACTTTCAACTTGAGGTAGAACCATATTTTCTAAACAGTCCATTCACATTACCTCAAGGTTGAGTTTCAATAGGATGACTGACCCATCCTGCAGTGAGTGTTCATTTAAAATATTTTTACATTGAAAAGATTCCACAATTTATAATCTCTGTAACAATTTTTAAATGTAAACTCTTTTTTTAGTATTTTTCAAAATTTTCATAACAGTTTCATGTGAAATAAGAGAGTTTATTAAAGCATTTACCATTGAATTTTCACTTTCTTCAAAATAATTACCACGTCAAAAGTTTTTATATATTTTATATGCAATAAAAAAACTAATATTGTGCAGTCTTGTTGTAATATTTTGATCAAAATAAAATACGACAATTTCCATTGAACAGTAAAACCAACATATTTACTGATTACCTTCCATATTTGTCTTCCATATTTGAAAAACATGTGTGCCTTACATTCTATTGATTTTGAATTCTTTTTTTTCAATATTTGTTTATTGACTATTCCATTTACTTAAAAATAATTTAATACACAACATATTATTCAATAAATTATAGGTAAGGTCAAGATCTGATCTAGTAAATGAAAGTTGCCAACAGAAATATCAAATTTAAGAAATAAATTCCTTTAATGATGCTTTATGACTTAAGTTTGGTCAAATAAGGTGTTTCAGGGCATAATTTATAGGTTAACAAGATGAAAAAGCATATTTTAAACTAGAATTTCCAATGAAAATTTAAGTTAATCAGTCATAAATATGGGATTTTTTTCCCTATCAACCAAAGAATATACATGTATCCAGATTGCCTACAATCTTGAAAAGAAAAAAACAGGAATTTGTATGTTCTTGTCCTCTTCTTTAAAGTAATAACAAGTTTAATGTAAGTTTCGGGACTACTTTTTATGTAATTTCAAATTGAATTTAATAAAAATATTTCATTTTCTACATAATTCTTATAGAGTTGTAAAGTACGGGAAAAAGAAAGTTGAAAGTGATTATGACGTCATAATGGATCTAGCACCAAAAAGTTAGTCTACAGACATTTACTAGATCTTGACCTTAGATTCTACTTACATTCTGTCTTTCATAATTTTTTTTTGTATACATGAATATTTTCCAAGTCCGATTTTTTTTGTTATTTGAAACTCCCTACTTAGTGTATTTTGAACGCATGGAGTTTATTATTATTTTTTCCTTTTTTTATTTTAGAGTAAAACAGTTTATTCTTTTGTTTTTAGCTCACCTGAGCCGAAGAATCAAGTGAGCTTTTTTGATCACATTTTGTCCGGCGTCCGTCCGTCTGTCTGTATTTTTTTCACATTTCGACTTCTTCTCCAGAACCACTGGGCCAATTTCAACCAAACTTGCCACAAAGCACTCTTTAGTAAAGGGAATTCAGGTTTGTTCAAATGAACGGCCATGCCCGCAAGGGGAGATAATTCAGAAAAAGTGAAAATTTGAGGAAAGTTTTTAAAGTCTTCTCAAGAATTATAGTGCCAGGAAAGATGAAATTTATGGGGAACATCTTCAGGTAATGTAGAATTAAGTTTCTTCAAATCATGCCCACCGGAGGCTGGGCAAGGCCCAAATGGCTGACCAAATCTTTACATAGAAATATATGGGAAAATTCTTTAAAACATTTTCTCAAGAATAATAAAGCTATGATTTATCATATTTATATGGAAGCATCCACAGGTAATGTAGATTCAAGTTTGTTACAGTCATGACTCCCGGTGCTTTTGGGAGAGGCCAAAATGGAAGACTAGAAATTTTAAATTGAAAAATACAATGTATAGGAAAAAAACTTTAAAAATCTTCTTATCAAGAATAACAAGCCATGATTGGTCATATTTATATGGAAGTATCCTGAGATATTGTAGATTCAAATTTGTTTAAATCACGACTTCCGGGGGTAGGGCGAAGTCGCAATGTTCCACCATTTTTTTTACATAGAGATATATAGGGAAATTCTTGTATAATCTTCTTCTCAAGAAAAAAAAAGCCATGATTGGTCATGTTTATATCGAAGCATTCTCAGGTAGTATATGTTCAAGTTTGTGCAAATCATACCCTCTACCCTTAAAAAAATGGTTGAGACTACTTTTGGGTTTAAACTTTACAATAATACACTAATTTCTTCTTTTTCCTAGCAAAATGGCTCAGGTGAGCAACATGGCCCTTAGGACTCTTATTCAAGTGATGACATAGGATTTTCTATTTTGATAAAGCCTATCTTTTGAATAATAGAATATTCGTTAATATTTTAAAAATAATGTCTTAATTATTATACATTCACTAAGACAGTTACTTTTGTTTTTATTACATTGTAAGGAAATATCGTTGACAGATTTTTAATGTCCATTTCCATTAAATAAGTGTTTTGAATATAAAATGTTATAAACAAACAGAAACAAACAAGATATGATTGTGTAACACTGATTCCCCCATGTGGCAGCTCTTGGCAAAGTTAAATGTTTCTCATGTGTATGTCATTCTCTAGGGTCAAGAGATGATA